TAATGTCTCATAGAAATCTGTATAGATTGTTTTTTTAGCTCACCTGTCACAAAGTGACAGGGTGAGCTTTTGTGATCGCTTTTCGTCCGGCGTCCGTCCGTCCGTCCGTAAACTTTTACTTTAAATGACATCTCCTCATAAACCACTAAGCCAATTTCATCCAAACTTCACAGGAATGTTCCTTTGGTGGTCACCTTTAAAAATTGTTCAAAGAATTTAATTCCATGCAGAACTCTGGTTGCCATGGCAACCGAAAGAAAAAACTTTAAATATCTTCTTTTAAAAAAAACCGTAAGAGCTAGAGCTTAGATATTTGGCATGAAACATCTTCTAGTGAGTGTCTACCAAGATTGTTCAAATAAAAGCCCTGGGGTCAAAATTGGCCCCGCCCCAGGGGGTCATTAATTTTCCCTATATGCATATAGTAAAAATTTAAAAAATCTTTTTTTAAAGAACCCATAGAGCTAGAGCTAAGATATTTAGCATGAAACATGTTCTAATAGGTGTCTACAAAGTTTGTTCAAATAAAAGCCCTGGGGTCAAAATTGGCCCGGCCCCGGGGGTCATTGATTTTCCCTAAATGCATATAGTAAAAACTTAAAAAATCTTCTTTTAAAGAACCTCAAGAGCTAGAGCTAAGATATTTAGCATGAAACATCTTCTAATGAGTGTCTACCAAGTTTGTTCAAATAAAAGCCCTGAGGTCAAAATTGGCCCTGCCCCAGGGGGTCATAAATTTTCCCTATAAGCATATAGTAAAAACTTAAAAAAACTTCTTTTAAAGAACCAAAAGAGCTAGAGCTAAGATATTTGACATGAAATATCTTCTAGTGAGTGTCTACCAAGTTTGTTCAAATAAAAGCCCTGGGGTCAAAATTGGCCCCGCCCCGGGGGTCATTGATTTTCACTATATGCATATAGTAAAAACTTAAAAAATCTTCTTTTAAAGAACCGTAAGAGCTAGAGCTTAGATATTTGACATGAAACATCTTCTAGTGAATGTCTACCAAGTTTGTTCAAATAAAAGCCCTGGGGTCAAAATTGGCCCCGTCCCAGGGGGTCATAGATTTTCCCTATATGCATATAGTAAAAACTTAAAAAATCTTCTTTTAAAGAACCCAAAGAGCTAGAGCTTAGATATTTAGCATGAAACATCTTCTAATGAGTGTCTACCAAGTCTGTTCAAATAAAAGCCCTGGGGTCAAAATTGGCCCCGCCCCAGGGGGTCATTGATTTTCCCTATATGCATATAGTAAAAACTTAAAAAATCTTCTTTTAAAGTGACATTATGCTCATATTTTCATAGTCAAGTTGAGCTGAATTGACTTTATATTTCAAAACATTGACACACAAAATGGTGTTTGACCAACAGTTGATATTAAAAATGTTTAGGATAAAATTATAAATCTGCCTTACATTTAAACAGACTGCCCCACTCTTTTAATAAACTAAGCGTGATAGGTAAATTCTAATGGATATTTACAGAAATTTCGTTTCGATCTGTGCATTATTTATTGTTTATGCGAACTTAATTATTAAATTAAAAAGAATTATGGCAAAATGAAAGCTTATTTTGATGTTCACCCGTTCACTCACTATATACCCTTGGATGGGCATAATGTCACTTTAAAGAACTCAAAGAGCTAGAGCTAAGATATTTAGTATGAAACATGTTCTAATGGGGGGTGTCTACCAAGTATGTTCAAATAAAAGCACTGGGGTCAAAACTGGCCCGCCCCGGGGGTCATTGATTTTCCTTATCTGTGTATACCAAAAACTTAAAAATCTTCTTTGAAAAAACCCAAATAGCTTGAGTTTAGATATTATACATGAAACATTTTTAAGTAAATATCTACAAAGTTTGTTCAAATAAAAGCCCTGGGGTCAAAATTGGCCCCGCCCCAGGGGGTCATTAATTTTCCCTATATGCATATAGTAAAAATTTAAAAAATCTTTTTTTAAAGAACCCATAGAGCTAGAGCTAAGATATTTAGCATGAAACATGTTCTAATAGGTGTCTACAAAGTTTGTTCAAATAAAAGCCCTGGGGTCAAAATTGGCCCGGCCCCGGGGGTCATTGATTTTCCCTAAATGCATATAGTAAAAACTTAAAAAATCTTCTTTTAAAGAACCCATAGAGCTAGAGCTAAGATATTTAGCATGAAACATCTTCTAATAAGTGTCTACCAAGTTTGTTCAAATTAAAGCCCTGGGGTCAAAATTGGCCCCGCCCCAGGGGGTCATTAATTTTCCCTATATGCATATAGTAAAAACTTAAAAAATCTTTTTTTAAAGAACCCAAAGAGCTAGAGCTAAGATATTTAGCATGAAACATGTTCTAATAGGTGTCTACAAAGTTTGTTCAAATAAAAGCCCTGGGGTCAAAATTGGCCCCGCCCCGGGGGTCATTGATTTTCCCTATATGCATATAGTAAAAACTTAAACAATCTTTTTTTAAAGAACCCATAGAGCTTGAGCTAAGATATTTAGCATGAAACATCTTCTAATAAGTGTCTACCAAGTTTGTTCAAATAAAAAACCTGGGGTCAAAATTGGCCCCGCCCCAGTTGGTCATTGATTTTCCCTAAATGCATATAGTAAAAACTTAAAAAATCTTCTTTTAAAGAACCCAAAAGGCTAGAGCTAAGATATTTAGCATGAAAGATGTGCTAATGGGTGTCTACAAAGTTTGTTCAAGTAAAAGCCCTGGGGTCAAAATTGGCCCGGCCCCGGGGGTCATTGATTTTCCTTATATGTGTATAGCAAAAACTTAAAAAATCTTCTTTGAAAAAAACCCAAATAGCTAGAGTTTAGATATTAAGCATGAAACATCTTCTAGTGAGTGTCTACAAAGTTTGTTCAAATAAAAGCCCTGGGGTCAAAATTGGCCCCGCCCTAGGGGTCATTGATTTTCCTTATATGTGTATGGCAAAAACTTAAAAATCTTCTTTGAAAAAACTCAAATAGCTAGAGTTTAGATATTAAGCATGAAACATCTTCTAGTAAGTGTCTACAAAGTTTGTTCAAATAACAGCCCTGGGGCTAAAACTGGCCCCGCCCCAGAGGTGTCATTGTTTTTAACTATATGTGTATAGTAAAAACTAAAAAAATCTTCTTTTAAAAAACCCAATGAGGTAGAGGTTAGATTGCAGGAAACATCTTTGTGTGGGTGTCTTCCAAGTTTGTTCAAATAAAAGCCCTTGGGTTAAAATTGGCCCTGCCAAAGGGGGGGGGGGTGGAGGTCATTGTTTTTCATTATATGTGTGTAGTAAAAACTTAACATCATGAAACATCTTTTAATGAGTGTCTTCCAAGTTTGTTCAAATAAAAGCCCTAGGGTTTAAACTAGCCCCGCTCCGGGGGCCTAAATACAGGTGTGCGACCTCGGGGCCATCATGGCCCTCTTGTTTACTTCTGTTCGAGCCCCTAGTGGCCGAGGGGTTGCCTTAAGGGTTGTGACATCAGAATTGCAGTCACCGTTTAAATCCTGTGTTTTCGTAAGAGGCGACTAACTGGGTTCGAATTACTGGAATATATACATCTCTTAGCTCCAGCAGGTTAGGTGGTTTTGACCGCTGGGGTTGCTTTAAGTTTGTGACACTGAGGTTAGCCAAAATCATCTTTCCTGTTTCGGTGCCTTATGACCTAAACTGTGTTGATGCGCCGTGAAGCAGTAACAAAACACAGTCTTTTGAATGATATGACTGTGTAATTTCAAACATGTAAATGAGACAATAAATTAAAACTTTACTACTTCTGTAATCAATATATTCCTCTGTAAAATAGCCAAATATTTCAGTCTAAAATCGTTGCACGTGTTTTTAAATGAAGGAGGCCAAGGAATGCCGAAATATAGCAAGAAAGTCTTTGGGTTGTCATAAGGCAACCAACTCACATCAGCCTTACGGCCATCAAATAATACATAACAAAATTCGGTGATCCTTTTAACATTACATATTGAAAAAGTGTTGGGGTATTTTTATATGTTTTTTTTTTAATTTCAGAAACATTTTTCTTTCTTCATTGGTAATAGAAAATATCGTGAAGGCTAGTAAGGTGCACATTTATATCTTCTAACTGAAAAAAAAATAAAAAAGCAAATAAAAATAATAATAGAAAAAATAAATAATAAAAAACATAACTTGCCTATTTTAAATATATTTCTTTCGTTCTTTTTCAAATGTTAATACATTTATAATTGTTTTAATCAAATATCCAACTTATTCAATACCCATTGATACTTTTGTTGCATGGACTATATTTATTGACATGTGAAATTAGCTAGCGAGATGAACAATATCTGGTGCAAGCAATTAAACAGTCACCTTTATTTAAAGCTGCATTGACGGTTAATTTCAAATGAAATACAAAGAGGGGAAAAAAAGATTTAAGCATGTTCGACCTTTGCCTATTTAACTTCAATATAATTGATTGAAGAGAGAAAAAGAAAGAAAAAAATTAAGCATGTTCAACCTTTGCGGTTTGATTCGTCAAATTAAACTGTTTTAACAGTACAATGTAAATTATTTGAAGAAAAAATCACCCTACTCATTTGAAATAACAATGGTTGAGACAAGACAATTTTTTAAATGAGCAGTTGTCTTCGATTCACATCCATTGTAGATCTACGCGAAATAATTATTATTGATTAAAAGCTCGAGGAAACTAATTAGACCTTTCCGTTTTATTTACTTAATTCATTCCGTGAATACACTCGGCTAATTATCCTGAGTACCAGAAATACTAAAATCGAATTTTCGTATTTCAAAGTCTTGAAATAAAAGCGTCCATCTACGCCCGTATAACAATAGTATTTGCCAAAGTTTTCAATGGACTATTTATTTACGTGCACACTTTCTATGTTGATTCGCCGGAAGTTGTTTACCCTTGAAGCTGAATAGCAGGCACGTGGCGTATGTAAATATTTAACGAGTTTAAGGGACTATTTGCTGATATGTTTGTGTTAAGAAGTACTAAGTGAATGTAACATCAAAATCGAATAAAATCTAATGCATTTTTATTTCTTCAATAAAATGTTTTACAGAAATAAATATGTCCCAGCACGATATATAATACGATCAGTAGATCAATATATCCCATGTTTGTACAAACAAAAACAGAGAAAGTAAAATTTTAAGACAGCACCATCGTGCTGTTAAAAATAGCACAATTAGTAATATATGTACAAATGACTTTTAAAAAGACTCTAGGACAAAGAATAAGTTATTCTTTGTCCCAGAGTGACTCCACTGAGTATGTTTTTTTTTACGAAACTGGAAATTTACGAAACTGGAATTTTTTCTTTCGAATTTTTTCATATCATTTCATGTAGGTCTGAACCAAAAGCTTGTGTGAAAATTTCAAATCATTAAAGGGACTCCACTGAGGTTTTTTGACATGATGGGACTGAAATTTTTTTTCTAGATTTATGTACCATTTGATGTAGGTTTAGACCAAGAATCTTTGTGCAAAATTTCAGATCATTTCGCGCACTTCGTTTTTCCAAAATAATTATTCAAATGTTATGTTTTGAGGCTTTTAAATATCAGTGGAGTTCCTTTAATAATTTTTTTTCCTTCAGAATAGTTATTATAATTGTGAAAAAGTTACCAAAATTTAAAACCGTTTAAACGCTTCCAACTCAAATCGGACTATAAGGATCGTACAGATATACTAATATCTAATTCTTATTATATTTTTTTTTATTAGCTTTCGCATATATTTCCGTTTAAGTGTCCCAGTTGATCAATGGAAGAAATAATTGTTTTAGGATTTTTGGACCTCAGTGGAGTTCGTACTTCGATAGAAAATATCAAAGATTATTTTCAATTTACATATATACATGCATGCATTAATACATAAGTTGTATACTTTGAAATTACATTAAAATAGCCATCGTAATAAATTCCATTTCATTATGAAAAAACAACAAAAAAAAAAAAAACACTTTAGTAGAAATATTCACTTTTTATCCGAACAATCTGGATCAAACGGTGCTATGGAGGGGATTGCGGGCTTGTAATGGACGGGTTGTTGAACGGTTCACACCTTAGTCATACAAAGTATATAAATTAGCCACTACCGTTGCATAGGCATGGAGATTAATAGACCGGCAGACCTATTGCAGGAAATCTGGATGCATATAATAAATATCCATAACAAAAAAATAACAAATTCTTATACATTTATACAAGTTTGTCACGTAAAATGTTTTGTAAAATCATTTGTGTAATTAGCAATGTTAATAAGGTCTGCATCATTTGCGTAATGAGGGAACCAGATTTTGGCGGAAAGTTTGTTATCTTTTGGTGAGCTCTGTTTCTCGTCAAACCACGCGAGAGAGTGTCCCAGCAACGGACTTTCACAAGGGTCAAGGTCATTCCCTGAAAATAGAATAACAAATCATAATAAATATAGTGACTCTTATCTTAATAAGAACTGTGTGAAAAAAAAAGAATATAGTTAATTAATTCATTAAAAAAATATTCACAAAAGTTCCAGCCGGAAGAAAAAAGCACAAAAAAATCATACTTAAGGGTGTATATTTATATGTACTACCCCTTGTCGAGATTCTGTCACCCCCCCCCCCCCCGAAAAAAGAATGGGTACAGTCTTGGATACGCACTTGCAGATGCATATGCATTCCATTCCAACAGAAAATAAATCCCTAGAGCTACTGGGAATATAGATTCTATATCAGCTATGAATTAAGATTTAACTTTGAAATTTGTAAATTTGCATGTTTTTGTGTTTATAACATAAATATCTACATACAATATACATGTAATTAATTATCTTATTCCCTTTGAATTCCGTCACAAGTTTAATGAATCTTCTACCCTGGCAGTAACAGATTATACCCCCCCCCCCCGTTGCCACCAGTGCAGACCAAATTCAGCCCTGCCGCCTGATTATGGTCTGCACTGTCCGTTATTTATTCAGTAATTCTTTAAAATTTTGCTTTAAAACTGACGGATGGTTTTGTCCAGACTTAAATATGCATCTAAACTGGACTTGTGACGTTTTGTATCCATGAAATTTCTGACAAAAATGGTTATTTAAATAATACTATTCATGGTTATTGAGTTTTAATAATGTTTAAAAATGGATATTTTAATAATATTCTTCCTAGTCCTTAAGTTTTAACGTTTTGTAATGTATATACACCCTAGATATAAAATTGCGCGGATTCAAGACTGAATCCCCTTTTTCTAGGGGAGAGGGCAGAATCTCGAGAAGGGGATATACATATACACCCATAAGTATGAAATGGTGACGATGGATAGGCCCAAAAATTAAGAAAACACCAAATAACAATTATTAAATTTGTTCTGAATTTAGATTCGAGTGAAAAGTAAATTACATTACAGTTGTCAATTTAACAGGTTATATTCTTTTTCTCCTTACACATTCTATAATATTCCATTTCAAGCACATATTTTAGTATATATTTAGTTATATAAATATTCATAATTTAGATATCCTCCTACCTGAAAACTGACAACGTAGAATCACTTTTTCTTGCTTATTGTCTTGGTTTTGAATATGTCCACTTGAGGTTAAATCATTAGTAGTTTTAATAAGATCTGCAAGGTAACTTATGTAACTCATAGCCAGTTTAAGGGTGTCCACTTTTGATAATTTTTTGTCCACCTGTTCTGTTACAGGTATACATTTTCGGAGACAGTCAAAAGCGTCATTAATAGACTTCATTCGGCGACGTTCGCGCATATTCGCTGCCTTTCTCTGCTGAACTTTCTTGCCGGTAAATTTCCCTGACCTTTTCCCGAAACTGCATGAATTTAACGGAACGTTCTCAATGTCACTTTCGTTAGATCCCGTTGACGCGAGTTCGTCACTATAGTCGACTGAACTTTCATAATAATCAATGTCAAATATATCCTCGTCCAAAGTGTAAAGAAAACTTTCCATGTTTCCTTGTAATAAATATATTTTTTGTGTGAAGAAAAATGTCCGCCTCTTGCTTGGGTTTTTATTTCTCTGACTCCGTATTGTGTTTAAGTTTCCAGATACATCTATAGACGATTAAAATTGATCAAAATGTTTAATTGAAACATTACCGTTTTAACAGTTTGGGTAATTCCTCGGTCTGTGGCCATATGAAACAGAAATCTCTTTATCTCTTTGTATTTGTGCAATTTCGCTCGATTTAATTGAATAAAAATGCTTTCAAATTAGTTCAAGTATAGCGTTAACAGTTAAATGAATCTGCATCCAATTGTAGTTAAATAGAAATGTGTATCAATAGAATAATCGTCAATTAAAATCCAATAGTCGTCCGTGCTCCTCCTCCAAAATCGAATTATCCAATCAGAGAGCTGAGTAAGGTGTCGCGTGCTGGTCGCGCGCTTAGTCGCGAGCTTATTTTCTTAAGAAGATAATTTGAAGCATATTTATGAGACAAACAAATAAAAATGGATTGTAATTTCTTTAAAATGTTATTAAAGTCCGATAGTGTTATCTTTAAAGCTGTTTAAAATTGAAGTGGAATATACCGTTATTATTATCTATAAGAGTAGTGACGTTTAAGACGCCCAGATGCGTATATTCCCAGAGAAACATTTTGATACATACAGATGTATGAAAACCTCGGTTCCATTCCTTATCTCATATGAAGGCTAAGAAAAAAATATTTAAATATTTCAACATAATGTATCTCATTTAATTTTTTATTTATTTATTTTTCCGTTTTAATACTTCATTTAAAATGTAAGTCATATGATATTGACGTCATTCGTTTAAAGTAGATCTTAAACGAAAAATATTCCGTTAATAGAAAAATTGAATAAATATCAAATAAAAATATGCTACTATTATTTATAACATATTACTTTTCTATAGAAAAAAAAATTCATGGCGAAGTTATTTAAAGGGTATGCCGCTATATCGTATGACATTTAAAACAAAGATATTAACAATAAAAGTATATTGTTTTAATCATTTTATGTCCATTCTCGAAACAGTTGTTATAGGATGTTTCTGTTATTTAACACACATGAATATTATACCTAAATAGAATAATAAAATATTATTTTGCTATTTTAAGTAGGATATCCGTCTAGCAATAATGCGTCATTCGCTTTTATGGCAATTTACTGCCATAATTATATCTTTGAAACAAGCATTTTGGAAGTGTTATTTTCTATAATTCAAACAACAGTTTTTTGCAGTAGATATATATCTTTGTACAATTTTCAAACTTGCAGCTTCAACGCTGGTTAAATGCAACGTATTTTCTTGTAGGTCTAAACGAACGAGAGAACGAACGGAGGGACGGACGGACGGACGGATGAATGAACGGACGAACGAACCCGGGGACGATAAACAGAAACATATTCTATTAAAATAATATTTCATTTTTTCTAATATTGAGACTACCTTTATATGATGTAGAACATTTTTATTTGTAAAAATACAAACAAACCAAATAAAAAAGGAAAGGTATGAAGACAGGTGAAGACAATATTGTGACACTATAAAACATATTTTGTCAATTCATTTGCCTGGCCTTGAAATATGTCAGTTTTCTTAAGATTGTCTGATAACTTGATAAGACAAAAGATATTCCTATCCTTAAATCTTCTGTATTTAGTTAATAGAAATACCACCAAAATCATGGCAAAAACAACAAATGCGTGTAACAACAACATAAATATGAAGTATAAACTACATGTGTATAAACACTACTTAAATGTTTGTTTCTATTTTTATCATTTTTTTTCAGTAAACTTATTTGAAGAACCAAAAATTGGGCTAATACTAGAGTAATAATCATAAATTCGCATTCATTCAAATAAAATTTTCAAATGGCAGTGTTAAACAGTTTTTAAGGTCAATCTTGAATCAAGTAATTATGGCCAAAAAATAAATTTTTAGAGAAAATTAAAAAAAAAATAAATAGATAGCCATGGGAAGAGAAAAATAGGGAGAAATTTTGAAATTAACTTGTTGAGATTAAAAAAGAAAAAATAGCACATAACAGAACAGAACGGGACGGATTTGTATCATAAATAATAACATTTTACAATCTGGCATTGGTATACATGTGTGATAAGTAAATTTTAGGGAGGTTAACTGAAAATCTTTCGTCTAATTGATTTTACATGCATGTAATAATGAGATCCATTATATGCATTAAATAATGATACAAGAATGATACAAAAAGACGAAACAAATACATGAAAACAAACAAACAAACAAACCAAACAACAACAACAACAATAAAAATGAAATTTTATCCGAAGAGAGTAGTTCAAATTTCAAAGTACATTAACAATTCTCATGCACAATCTAGATAAACTTCATATAACAAATATCGAAAAGAGTTGTGTGTTATCAAAGAAAAATGAAATGTGTAAAAATGATATTGTTTAAACAATTTATTTATGAAGACATGTAGAAAAAAATATATTTTCAAGACGTTTGCGTAGCCTTAACATATGACAGTTTATTTAAGAGCATCCGGATCATTACGTTTAAGACTCTCTGATAAGACAAAGGTATTTCAGTCCTTAAACTTGAGTAGTTCTAGTTAACGAAAAAACACAACCACTAATACCACGACAATAACAACAACATAGAATAACGTCTGCATGTATCAACAAATTAAGCACAAAAGTAGTGCATTAATTATGTAAGAGTTTGTACGTAACCTTAATAATTCGAACAAATGTATTATAAAAAAATTAACTATTTTATACTATGTACACATATATCAAATAATTTGTACATTGTGTCGAACATTAGTTTTCTTTAACTTTGTTCATTTTTTCGGGAACTAATAATGGATTATTAGCTCGACTATTCGAGGAATGGGGAGAACTGTTGTACTCACAAGTTGGCGACACACTTAAAATTTTGCGTGCATGTTGGTATCTCCAAAACAACTGAGGGGTATATGTTGAAACATACAATATACTTATTTGAAAACATAATTGGACGTCACCGTCCAAGGCCGATATATCTAACATAAATCTTGACAGAATTATGGCCCTTTTTATACTTAGAAAATTCTATATTATCCAGACTCTTCGTTTTACAAGATATAAGCACTTGCATTGAGAAAAGTCGAGCACACTGTCCTATCGACAGCTCTTGTTTTATATATAAGAGAAATAGAATTTATTTTATTTATGAAGTCCTGTATAAAATATAGATATTATTTCGTTAAAGGCACATCACGTCTCAGAAATGAGTACCTTTTAATTTCTGTAGCAAGCAAGGGCAAATCAAAATCAAAATAATAATAATAATAATAATAATAATAATAATAATAATAATATCGTAGTATTTCTGGACTGGTGCATGTGTATATTTGAATACAAACCGTTTAAATTACGTCTTTACAGAAAACTGAAAGTGCCGTCTCACTAAACAAAGTTTGTTTGCGCCAGAACGCGGCGCGTGCTTTTCACGTTTCATGACTTCCGGTTTAGACAGGCACAGTCTAAAAATGAAACGACTTTTGTTGATTGTAGCTAAACGTTTTATTATATTTGTATAAGCCAGTCTCCCTCTGCGTCTATTCAGTATATTTACTTTGTAATCTTTACAGAATTAAACGGTTTTAATAATGATTCTCGTCTAAATAGATTAAGTACACAGCTTTATGCAAATGTTACTCCAACTATTGTTACATTATAAATGAAGTGGGCAAATATTTGTTTATCGGAATGCAATGTGAAGTTATTTGACTTTTTCTGCGACAAAAAGAAAGTGGTATTTGACATCAGGGCTTATTCTTACAAGCTTAAATAGATCAGAAGTTAATGGGACCGCCCGTGCGCATGTCACAGGAACATTTTCATGCGCGCACATTAACACGGCGGGAATTTAGTGATTCAATATTTACAGGTTTATCAATTAAAGTTTCAAGCAAATACACAGACAAATTGAAATTATATGATTAACTGCTAGAATAAATTCTTACGTGGTATGAAAAATATGACTAGTTCTAAATGAAAATGCGCCGGGTTGGATGTTTAACTTTTAAGTTATCAGTGAAAGGTTTCTCGTGTTTTTCATAAAATAAGAACAGCTGGTGTTGACAAAAGCGTTTGGGCTTTGTTGTATAACTTCAATTAACGTGTTTACAAGCTGATTTAAAAATCATTCATTTGAAAATCAATGTTAAAGGCACATTACGCCTCAGAAATCCATTTTTACTTAGTTCTTCAGAAATGTCAAACATGTGTTTAATAATGTTTAAATAATGGATTAAGAGGATGTTGGAAGTTTACAACTGAAAAAGTAGCGCTGATCATGCCGTTATGTGTCGTAAAGGTACCAAAATATAAACAAAGTAGTATTCCATACAAAATAGTAGTTCACTGTAATTATACCAATTGCCAACAGATCTCAAGATGCAAAAAAATAGATCTTGTATGTAGCATATATTTATATGTTTGGAAACTGTAACAAGATTATATTCCAAAAACAGTTTTTTAGAAATAAAAATGATGGCATCTCTGAGGCATAATGGGCCTTTAAAGCTACATGTCTCGTGATGAGTCAAAATATTTTAATAAAATCAAACTTGAGAAAAATGTACTTTGATGTAAGGAAAAGTAAAATGTTTCAAGATTCAAGTACTATTTTACATATATATTATGTGCGATAAATGACTGATTTTTCAGTATTTACAACTATATTTCTACTGCGTTACTAACGTAGTAAATGCTATTTATTCATATTTTGACCTTATTTTGGTAATTTACATGGTTTGTAAGTGCCATTGATAATGTGTAAATTGGGTCCTTTTGGTTACTTCACAATATTACACATTCAAATTTTCAAAATTTTCAGGCGTGCTGCTTTAAGTGAAAACAAAAATCAATTTCGGGCTGCAGCGACTATTCAGAGCTTATGAATAAGTTATAAAAATACTGTTTAAAAGTGGACCATCAGTACAAACTACTTCAGAAAATAAAATAAATAAATGACACATTTTGCTTGCTATTTTCATTATTGGCAAAACAGTTTTTCGTTTTTCAGTCTCAAAAATACAATACAATACAAATGTGGAATTTGAATATTGAATTTCGTTTTTGAGATATAATAAAAAATAATACAACTTAAAAATCGTGCTCTTTGGTAAGTCGTATTAAGCAATTGATAGACTAACTGATTCGAAAAATAAAGTAGTTTTAACGTTATCATTCATCTTGAAGTAAGTCAGACGATTTAAACGTTGTCATATTGGTTTAAAATCTGTCGTCTGTAATAAGGTATTCGGAATACTGCACTGTCTCTTATACAATGATGTTTAATTTTTGTTTAAATATGAATTATTTCATTCAATGAAAAGGATATTAAAGGGATTAAAGCTGTATCTTATGACATATTTTCTTTTATATAAAAGTTATATTTTCAGTCAAATTATATTGTTTCCATAATCTTATGTGCGATTCTGTACGAAAACAGAATAAAATGTTCCGGAGCAAAATTTTATGCTGCTATTTTAAGAAAGGTTTTAATCGCAAAACAATCCTGTCGTTCACGCACCATATTTACTATAAGGCTATATATTAACATTTTTCTTTTATATAAACAATTATGCTTTTTGAAAGTATTATTTTTCAAAGTACAGACAGTAGTTTTTCGCAGTAGATATATAGATTTATACATATCAAAAAATACTTTTATCGGTCTTCAGTAGTTACCTAGTTAATTATTCCCTTGGATCAAAATCGCCATACTTTATTTATTGAAAAAAACAACAAAAAACAAAAAAAAAACAAAAACAAATAGCCTATAATAAAAATCGAAGCATGACAAAATTGAGCAGACAAAAGTTAATAAAAGCGTAATCACTCAAATCTATAAATAAACAGAATAAATCTTCTGTTACTGCTTGGCATGTCAGTATTATTAATTTCATATGAGCCGCGTCACGACAAAACCAACGTAATGCGTTTGCGACCAGCATGGATCCAGACCAGCCTGCCCATCCGCGCAGTCTGATCAGGATCCATGCTGTTCGCTATCAGTTTGATTACTTGTTATAGGGTCTGTGAGCGAACAGCATGGATCCTGATCAGTCTGCGCAAACGCATTACGTTGGTTTTGTCGTGACGCGGCTCATAAAGTCACGCCGGAAAGCCTTTATAATACATTTAAACAAGATTCTATAAGCTCAAACTCAGATTTTTGATTGGTCAAAAACTGCCACAGAATGTACACTGACAAATGAAAATTATGGGATTTGAGACAGAAGTTAGAGAAATACAGAAGTTAGAGAAAAATTTTTATAACCTTGAAGCATGGATATTTTTATACATTGTACAACGCTGACCGCAAATGACCTCTAATAATAGTGAAGTACTATCTATACAATATTCAGTCGCTCTTTAAACTTCTAATTCACGACGATCAAAACTGATAATTCATGATTATCGCCACAGATGAAAAGTCAATCTATTTAAACAGAAAATGGACACTGGTAGCCGCCGAGTGGCCCACTTCAGCCACAAACATAATGGCCGGCTGTTGTATTGACCTTATCAGACGATGTATTAGATAGCCGTGTAAACAATATAGAAATGGCCAAAGATAAAGCTGTACTCATACTTTTGTGTGCTCCGGCCACTTTATGGTCAATTTTTGTTTTAATGTTCTAAACAATTGAAGAAAAGATACAGCCGTTATTACTGGCACTTGTACTTCGATAGTGGTCATCGTCTCTTCGTATATTACGTAACAGATTAATGAGTGATTGTACAAGATCAAAAGCGCATCTTTCTTTCTTTCTTTCTTTTTCTTTTCTTTCTTTCTTTCTTTCTTCATTTCTTTCTTTCTTTCTTTCTTTCTTTCTTTCTTTCTTTCTTTCTTTCTTTCTTTCAACATCAACAAGTTATAGTTGTTGTTAATAAAAGAAACAAATGTTTTTTTCATATATATGCTAGTAAAATAAAGATCACTCTAAGTATGTCGCCTTATCATTATTAGACAGGTACGTAAAATATAGGCCGGTAAGTACTTTAAAGCTCTAACCAAGTCTTATCTTTATAACAAGATAAAGTTGAACCTAGTCTCAACAAATTGGCATATATCTATAAAATTCACGAAACATACGTAATTTTAAGGCACTGGAAATGAATATTACGTTTTTGCGTTCGATACTAATATTGGTATTTATATACAATGTGTCCGGTGGACGGTCTGGGAAACGTCTTGTCCTGGAGGAGATGGATATTGAACAAGAAATAATGAACCTAAAGCAAGCAATGGCACAGAAAGACGCACAAATAGGTAGTCTTCGGAACCAAATCGGTACGTAAAACAATGCTATCAGATTCAATGTTTGAGCACTGGTTGTTACTTTGCTTACGTACTGATCAGGGGAAGTAACCCTTGCAGGGAGGTACGTTTGACCACTTTCCGAACAATTTTTAGACTTTTGCTTAAACTGATGGTATAATAATGTTCTATTAATGTTGTATATATGTAAGGAAATGTTTTATTTTTGCGAACAATTTGCCAAATAGTTTTTACTTTGTTTCAACATTTAAATGCTTTCAAATTAAAGGTGTAAATCAATATTATATATTTTTAATCAGGAAGAAAGTTCGTTTCATTAAATAAAATAACTACGCTTTTACGACCCTGTTACATCGACAGGTGTCTGGATGTGAGAAATTAAAATGCATACATTTCTACATCCGATGTTTTTTTCCAGGTTCGACGTACACGAGATGGGGACGAACTACTTGTCCAGGAAATGGAACAGAACTCGTTTATTCTGGTAAAAATTTGCTTTTATGTATTTAATTTATCTCTTTTAAAGATTGATGTCTCTCGCCAATCGGACATTTCTCGGCTATTATTCGTTTGACGGAAAGGGCCGAGATGATGCGATTTGTTTCTCGCAATATCGACCAGGGTCTTTCAAATATAATTGTCCGGAGACGGGCCGGTTGACGGAATTAAGTTGCCTCAATTGGTCACGTGACTTTGCTTCATCGACCGCCATGTTGGGTAAAAAATCACTGTTGTGAAATCACAATATTTTTCTTTAATGACGTTTAGCAAACAAAAAATGTATTTATAACAAATGGTGAGTACTATCTTATATGAAATAAAAATATTTTATAGCATGTTGATGAAATTCCGTGATTTTCTATTTGAAAGACCCTGCTGTAGATTCTAACTTATATACTTATTTTGAAAGTTCTTGAAGCCAAATCTGTTCAGATTCTTCTTTTAGTCTTTTATGTCATATAATAATAATTTCCACTGGGAAATATATTGAGCTTATGCACGTGCAAATTGTAACTAACCCCAGGGAACAATTGGACCATAAGATAATCAAACTCTCCGTTAAAGAAATCTGACAAATAGATTATCATATAACAATAATTTAAAATGATGACTTGATGTATCGCAAAGCATTTAAATCAAGTTGGTTTATTACCAGTAACTGTCTATATTAAGTATAAGTTTTGATAAATTAATGAAGCATATCTATTTTTAGGTTTCATGGCTGGAACCTATCATGACGACGCCAATTATAAGGGAGCCGGTGCAAATTATCTGTGCCTAGCCGACCAGCCGACGTGGGACCATTATTCGGAAACTGTGAACAATGTTATTAGAATAACAGGTGTTCAGTATGAATTTTACGCACATTCGGAGACCCATCATGACCTGCAAGACTTTTTTGGATCTGATATCCATGACGATGAAGCCCCATGCTCAGTTTGTCGAGCACCAAGAAGTACAAGCGTAATGGTTCCCGGCCGGAAGGATTGCTATCCCGGATGGACAATGGAATATAGCGGATATTTGGTCGGCGCTTACTCGGGTTACGATGATGCATCGGAATATATTTGTCTTGATCGAAGACCAGAGGTTGTTGTGAACAGTGGAAGTAGCTATGGGGACAACATGCTATATTTCGTGGAAGCGTACTGTGGGAAAAGCCTGGAGTGTCCACCATATGTTAATAACAGAGAGCTGGCTTGTGTCGTCTGCACGAAGTAATACGCATGTTAGCAGACGATGACGACAACAAAATCACCACAACCAAAACAACATCACCATAGCAAGAATAAAAACAACAACAAAACAACAAATAAAACGATTTTTAGAGTATCATTATTGAATCGTTTACTACGAAAATTTAAACAGGAATTCTTCACGTACAGATAGCAGAAATATTTTGTAAACTATGAAAAACTATTTATGCTTTTTATGTATTGACCAAAAACTGCAAACTTTATCAGTTTTTAAAAATAATACCAGGGGCATATTTTGTGCGTCAAAAAAGTCAATTAAAATGACTGAAAGAAAAGTTGTAAAGTGAACAATATACTGCAGAGTCCCTGGCGCCCTTCTCAACTTTTATGTTCTTTTTTCTAAGCCCTGACTTAGATCTTGTGACCTGGTTGTGTTAATAGGTATACTTTAGTTTAAAAGGTTGTTAGGGTGCTACATCAGCAAGTGTTCAAATAAATTGCTCAAGTTATTCAATATTTACGCAATGGATAGAAAAAATAGGGGCAAACAGTTTAATGGCAGCGTAAACAACAAAACAACAAGCCTGGTAGAGGCCAGTGAAATTAATACACAAGGAAACTTACTAAAATTCAGGACAAAGACATTCCTTTCGGTTTAAATTATAATTTATTTAGTAAAAGGCGTTAACAATAACTATGCGTGGGATTCAGACCAAATGTACATACATGTATATAAATAAAAAAAATACTGTAATGATTACAGCATAAAATAAATATCGTTATTTTATTAAACATGAAGATCTAAAAGAAATCGAGTTTTGATCGAATGGTCTAGTTCGAAAAGTATCGTCGAAAGTCCAGAAATTTGGCAGTTCGTAAAAAATCGTTCTTAATACTGGACTTCCGGTAACAAGTTTAAAATAATAAACTTCAAGATACCTTTTCAGTAAGAAATATATCAATGAATGAAAGTTTAATCAAAATTAATCAAAGATTTTGAAGAGATCAAAATTCTACGTCTTTACTACTGTACGGTGATATTTTGGGATACGAATGCTTGTATCAAATTTGCATATGCAAATAAGTTCCAGAGTATTTTGGAATATAAATTAGATAGTTCGAGGTAACAATTGTAAATAACACGTCACTTCATTTCATTTTTTAATAATTTGAATTGAAATAACGTATAAGTTTACTCGATTTTTAGTTATCTGCTCTGGAAAATGGACAAAACATACTAAATATCTAAATTTCCGACACATAGAACTAATAAAGTAGCAAGGTGATTCCAATTTTTCATAAATTTCTTTCAGTTATACTTCCCTACAATCATGCAAAGTTTAAGAAAATTCTCGGCACTTAAATTTTCTCTCTCTTTTTTTTTGTTGTTGTTGTCTTTGTAAAAATTTGCGCTACTGTAGGACACGTCTAAAAGGATGACACCATCAGAAAAAGTCATTGATAATGGTGCAGATTTTGGGCGCATAAGGAAACATGAACTTCACATACAAACAAATGAACTACGTGTACACACAACTGAACTATTTTTTTTATTTGAAAGGTTTGACGACTTAATATTTACATTTATTATGTGACTAGGGTCAGTCACAGCTAAATTCAATTTTACAGCAGCTATAAAAACAAAGTTCCCTGAAAAAATTAATTCATTTTCTGATTAAACATTATTTATTTTGATTACGGTTTAAAGAGCCAGCATATTTTATAATTTAATATTCATATATCAATCGTAGATACAAGCTTACATTGAGCACACTACGCAAGCAAGTTCCCTATTATGAATATATGGCGGGCATTCCAAGCTTTTCCCGCAAAAAGCTTCCACAAAATACAGCATGTTATCGTTGTCACTATTACCACTGTGTACAACCGTCTCCGGTCGTCTGTCTAAACATATGTACTCCGTGGAATCATCATAACTCGGTGAACCACTGACTAAATAACCACTGTACTCCTTTGTCCACCCCGGGTAACAGTCTTTGCGTCCAGGAATCATAATATTTGTGTTTCTTGCAGTACGACAGACCGAGCACGGGGCCTCACTGTTGGAAATATCAGATCCGAAAAAAGCCCCGATGGATTTGTGGTGTGGCCAGAATTCGTACTCTACACCGGTTATGTGAACTCCGGCGTTTTCCGAGTCTGAATAGTGATCCCACGTTGGTTGACCAGCAAGGCATAAATAATTTGCACCGGCCCCAGGCCCATGTCCAACAACATCGTTATATGTGCCAGCCATAAAACCTAAATGACCGAGAAGACTCAATTTAGATTTGCATGTATCGAAAGAGAAACTGAGTTTGCTAAATAAAATACTAGTAATCTTAATTAAAGGCCCATTAAGCCTGAAAAATGCTAAAATTTCAATTTTGCAAATGTTTTTTTTTTTGGTCTCCCTAAGTACTCAATTAGCCGAGTCATCTTTTGCTTTCATATCATTTCGGCAACAAGTATACCAAACAATACACTAGTTAAGAATTACAAATTAAAAAAAATGTATATTGCTGGCAAGTGTTGGATCTAACTTAAATATATGGCAGATAATAAAGTGTTCAAATTATTATTATTCGTCATATAATTATGTGTTCATACTAAATCACTGAAGAAATTTTTTATAAGAATATCCATATGAACATCCAAATTATATATGTCTATTGTTTTCATTCAATATTTGAAATACCTATGAAAAATATGCCCATTGTAGATCAGTTCATTTTAATGTAACCCGTAAATACTGCAATTTCCGAGACTATAAATATATCTACAAAAGAAACCGCGCATGTATGAACAATATTTACCAGAATACGCCATAATTGTACCAATTCCAGGGCAAGATGTCCGACCCCATCTTGTATACACCGAACCTATTAAAAATAAACACAAAATAAAGTTTCCTTTTAAAAGGAAAGGCTTGCACAGTTGTGCCTTCATCCCAACATATTTATTTGTTTTTATTTTTGTAAAAACGAATAATTTTGTCAAAACGATTTGAAATCTATTCTCTATTGTATAAAACTAATAAAGAAAATAATCAATCGTAAAAATACTAACGTGAAGATCTATCATACTGAAAGGAAACAAGTGTGCACATTTCATTTAATTAATAAGCATGTTCCCTGATACGATGCGCTATCTATAAATCATCACGTGGTAAGGTTAATGATATGCATGGGCTATTTTTAGATTACCTCACCAAGTTCAGTAGATCTAAATATAACTCGATGCACTGTGTGATTTGGACCACCCTTTGAAGACGGAATACTACTACAGTCAACATCCTCTATTGTGTAAAACTAATACAGACAAAAAACAATTATAAAAGAAACTAACTTTTGCGTCTTGAAAAAGAATTGAAACGGAACAATTTCGTTTATAATTTATTACGGTTTAAATCAATAAATCAAGTAAAAATACGAATCCTATTTATATAAACAAACTGGGATTACCGAAGTAACTAAAATAGCTTAGATTTCCGTAATATTACTTCGTCTGATTCCGCAGTATGACGGAATCGCCCGAATTGTCACGATTGCAATCGGAAGTACATCGGCTATTATCATTAATCTGAAGAGTGACGGAAAAGGCCAAAAAGTTGCGATTGGCACGATTTCAGCTGGTTTCCCGTTCAATCATGCACTTATAAATGTAAGCAGAAAACCACCTAACCGGAACAGGTTTTCCAAATGAAATGGCTTGCAGCCGTGGCTGCAAGCCAAAAAGCATTGATGCAAAACATCAAAGGGCGTCCAAGCAAGAAATGCAGCAGGTGCAGATGAACTAGTAGATATATGATGACAAGATATTCTTATAAACTTTTCAATGGTTCATTGGTTTTTACCAGAATTGTATATCACTTATGAATGAACGGACGAAAGAAATTGTTCATTATTTATAACTTTTATTGGCATGCTAGAAATTAGAATATAACTTGTTATTTCTTTATGATCGTGGTTATTAATAGCAACGGATATACATGTATACAATCATTTATAATCCATATGTGTAACGCATGATCAACACCATACTTGTGTAATTGTCCCTTATTATGTTATCGCTATTAGCGAAGACCCCCTCTTAAGGTATCTAACAATATGACACTTGTTACATTACCATGTTGATCATGTTGAGCATAATTGTTTATTATACAATAATTGTAATATCTATTTTAATAAAAAAAATACAGATTTTATGAATATTGTTTTCTTTTCTTTTTTTGTGTTTTATGCGCTATTTTAATACTGAGTTTTTACGTTTACTACTATTTTAAGAATTCAATTGTCATATTGACCGACGATTATAAGTCAAAACTTAACTGGAAAAAGTCAGTAAATCATGGTTAATCTTTCAATATATAACATTGTTTATTCTTAAACCATATACATGTACATTTGTATTTTTCTTTATCATTTTTTAAATTATCAATCAATTGAATAATTCATAAAATCTGATTTGTAACTTTGAATAATTCCTCACACGAATAACAAATTAAATGAAATGTTTCAAAGTTGATAGTGTCATATTAATGCCATAAAAATGTACATTTTTTCTCAATTATTGTACATATTTTTTGTTATATCTGGGACATACGATATCCCAGGTTATATATAGATAAAATAAAACATGCGATTTGTGTTGTTGGGTTTTTTTTTCGAATGTATAATAATAATCAATAAATTTGAGAGTTGATATGTGTTTATTAATTATTGTAACCAAACTAAGTGACAAACATTCATTTTGAAAAAAAGCTTATTTATCTGTAAAATATTTGTTCTGTTCTGTAACGATATCAAACATCTACTCCAAAACCGGGAGAGACCGGACAATAAACGTGTGGTACTATTCGCCGGTCACTAGTAAATCCCGGGAGAGACCGGGAATTACCGATAGGAGTACATCCCTCTATTAATAGATTTTCGGAATATTTAGGTCATCAACTCATCATTCTATTAACAGCTTTCGGAATAACATACCATAATAACCCGCTGTGTACTACAAAATGATAAACAAAAATACCCCGAAGAGCGCGATTTATTGACGGAAAAGGTTATTTCATTTGAAAATGTTTGCATTGCGAAATTCTCCAGTTCTCCAGTTCGCCATTTATTGTACATATCGCGACTAATTGATAATCAAGCACCCTCATACCGATCGGAATGATCGGCTTTTATTATGAACAACTATAAAAGGCTCGAGAAGTTGCTGTCGCCCTTTCACAAAATCTGATTTCATTCCATAATAGGCGCCGCGCTTCGGCGCGGACGCCAAAAATCATTCTTATACTTATCACAATTTTATTGCATTTTAACATTTATGAGCACACTTCCCTTTTTTAACATTTCATCGTAAAAAACAGGCTTTGAACACATTAAACTTAATTCTTGCATAAAAATTGTACAAGCAGGTGTAAATTAACGGAGAAACGGATAGTCACGTGAGCACGCGCCATTGTTGCACGTTTGAATGACGCGTGCACGTTTGATTTAATAACGCCCCTTAATTTTACTGGACTCTTTGCAGTCATTTGTATAAATGCTCATGACGTGTTTTAAAACTCTTAAACAGAACAACGAAGAAGTCTCTCTATTTTCATATTTACAATGTAATATACAATGCAGTAGTAGCAGCAGCAACAGCAGCAGCAGCAACAACAAAAGAAGAAACAACAACAAAAGCAACAACAGTAGTAGCAATAACAACAAGAACAACAACAGTAGTTACAACAACAGCAGCAGCAGCAAAAACAACAGCAGCAACAACACCACCAACAACAACAGTAGCATCAGCACCACCAACAACAACAACAGCATCAGCACCACCACCACCAACAACAACAGCAACAACACCACCAACAACAACAACAGTAGCATCAGCACCACCACAACCAACAGCAGCAAATAAAAAACATTAGCAGCAACAACAACTGCAAGCAGCTCCAGCACTAACATGTATATAATAATATGTCTTACCCATCTGCGATTGTAAATCTGTATTCTGTTTCTGCAAAGCAGCAATTTGGGCCTCTTTTTGAGACTTTGCTTGTTTTAAATTTATAATTTCCTGTTCGACGTCCATTTCGTTCAAGACTAGGCGTTTCTTACATAAAATATCCGAAATAAACATCATGCATATAAATGGATGCATCTTCGAATGTCTGCCATCTTGACAATTAATTCAGTCATTGCAATTGTTCGTATTTCTAAAGATAACAAAAGGTCAAGGTTATGACACATTCGTTTATCATATATGACTGTAGGGGTAAATGAACATCTGTGAAGTGTTCTTAACTCTTAATCTATCGCCAGTCACCTTGTACAGCAGCAACAGTAATAAAAATGATAATGAAGATGCTGATGATGATGGGAAAATCTGATAAAAAATGTTCCGATTGTCATGCGATTGTTATGTTATCTTAATTAAAATTTAATATTTATAAACACACCAATGTATCACATGACTTTTTATCTTTTTTCTTCCCGATTCGCCCGCAACGAATTTATTATGAAATATATTCGAGTGTCGTAACATAATAAAAACACAAAAGACCACCATAATGCATCCTTTTACACCTTCATTTTCAATTTTTAGGAGAAGGCCCCCATTCCCCTCTCCAAATAGTAGAGTAGCGTCGTGGCCAAAGTGTAAACGCGTTGTATTGGTAATCCACGTAGGTTCAAATGCCGTCAGGGACAAGCTATTATTTCCGTCAGCAAGAATTGCCCCGTGTTATACAGTTGTACGTCAAATTCCCAATAGATATACTGATGACGGAATAACATTGAGAATATTGATATATTAAGGTCACTGGGATACGGCTAGTTTTTTTTATAAGATATTGTCATTGTTATGATTTCTGATAGTCCATGTATTTCATTGCGTTTAATGTTGGAAATGGAATACATATCCACATATGGATCACAATATGCATACTTTTTGACCATTATTTCCTTCATTCGTTGCTGATTTCCGAGGAACTGACCTAACAATGGTTTGTGAGTATGTTTCTAATCATCCCAGATCAAGATTATTGATTGTAAAGCGTTTTTGAGCTTATTTTTATAGTCATTCTCTTAATCAACATGTTTGATGCTTGACACATCTAAAGCCACGGGAAATTTTTTTTGAAAAAGACTACATGTACATCAAATTAGAAACTATCGAGGAACTATACAAGGGTCGTGTGCATTTCGATTTTTTTTCTCAAAAAACAAAAACTACTCAAATTTGTAAAACTTACTGCACAATATCGTCCTTATATTGCTGTTATACCAGCATATGTTTCACCGGAAACAAACATATCTTTTTAACCGATGCACATTTCAAGTTGGTCACACCTCCCTGTGTTATCGCCTCATCTTCTGGTCAGCATACGAAATCCTGTGTCTTCTGGTTACAATGACATTGATCAGCGTTTGGTTAAAGTTGCATAAAATCAAAAAAAAAGAATGGAACTAATTTAAGTTACATGTATTTAACGTATAACATCATTAAGACATATCTCCAGTTACATTAACAAAACGACACATGTTTATTCTTACATTGCAACAACATATACATTGTACAAAACATATTATGTAAAAGTCATGGCTCTACACATATTATTTTGCCTGGTATATCTAACAATTTACAAAAAGAAGAAGTTTTGTAAGAAATGAACCAGATGTATGATTAACCAAAGCTTTCCAAGTTCACCTTATTCGGTTAGATATCGTCATGTGTGTGACTAAAACTGCCACACACACAATGTTAGTCTTATGTATATTCAGAATAGTTCCAATCGCCGTAGTTCTACCACTCGTCATCGTTTTGCGCTTTTCTTTTCTCCGTGTTTTTCGCCGCCTTATTACGTTCTTCGACCTTATCCACCGACGACTTTGACGACTGCTTTCTAGAGACATTACCAGGGGGAGCCGCTCGACCTTTCCGTACGTCTACGAGAGGTGACGGTTGAATATCCATGGCATCATCTTCATGATCATCAGAAGAAAACTTGCAGCATTGCCTTTCCTTCCAGAAAATAGCTGTGAGAAATATGGTTAGCATCACGCCGCAAATAACAACAGAAATCGCAAGGACAGTGTGGTTTCCCAATGCCGTCTCCTCTCCGATGACTTTTTCAAAAAACGAGCATTGAGCCTGCAAAAATGTGTAATATAAAAGGAATAGTACATTGTGTATAAAGATTCTACAAGCACGCTAATTAGGCGAAGATAACATTTTATATGGAAGCTCAACAATTTTTTTATGATTGAAATATCTAGGGTGAAACTAAGTTCCCTCTTAAGGTTTACCAGTCAAATATCCGATTTAACTCAATACATGATCACAAAATAGATAAAATATCGTTTTTTTCGCCGATATTTACATTTTTAATTCATTATCATACGTAAATCGGTGTGAAAATGTGAATTAGACCTATAGTTAAAGTTCATTCCGTTGGGTAAAAAGGCAAGATTTAAGCATTTTATGATTCAAGCATCTTGCCCGGTATATACCGGAATACGGTATTTAGTGTATTGCTCCAATCCTTGTTTAGTCTCACTCTCAAATATCCTATTTGAACATGTCCATTTCTCAATCTGGTCAAAATCATTCATCATTTTCAGGGGATTTAAAAAAAATCAAGTATTGACTGAATAGAAAACAGTCAAGTCACACCAGTGGCCATACCGCATGCAGTGGTTGCTCTTATAGAATCAGTTGCTGATGGTATGCTTAGAATTAACTGTTATTACTTCATAGAGGGTGTAAAAACAAGAGCACCGCTAGGCGGAGCATTATATGCCCGAAAGTGTTTTTTAGTAAGGATAAAGCATTTGTAAGACATGGGAATAAAATAAAGTATTACCTCCTTCAAACAGCAATCATCCTATGAAGTTTGAATATTGTGGGCCAAATGGAACTGTTTCAGTTTTAAAGTAATAGTGACCTTGACCTTTGACCTTGTGACCCCAAAATCAATAGGGGTCTTCTGCCTTATATGTGCAATCATCCTATGAAGTTTGAATATTGTGGGCCTAATGGAACATAAGTTACGCTCCGGAAACTGTTTTCAGTTTTAAAGTAATAGGGACCTTGACCTCTGACCTTGTGATCCCAAAATCAATAGGGGTCTTGTACCCAATATGGACAATCATCCTATGAAGTTTGAACCCTGTGGGCCAAATGGGACTTAAGTTATGCTCCGGAAACTGTTTTAAGTTTTAAAGTAATAATGACCTTGACTTTTGACCTTGTGACCAAAAATCAATCGTGGTCTTGTATCCAATATGGACAATCATCCTATGAAGTTTGAATATTGTGGGCCGAATGGAAGTTATGCTCCGGAAACCAAATTGCTAACGGACGGACGGGCGGGCGGACGGACGGACGGACGCCAGGGGGTATAACATAATAATAAAAAGGATAGAGCACATTTGTACAGTGGTTTAATTTTTGGGAAAATGGCCATTACTCTGTAAATAATGATAAGTGGCTTTCTCATAGAACGCGCAATTGGCCTACTGTGTTTACCATTCAAAGCAAGTTTCATAAATAAGCAGTGGGCTTTCCTAATAAACAGGAATGAGACCTGGCACTCGCTAAAATTGCTAATTTGGGTAGTAAAAATCTGGGATTAACTAGGAAAAGGTAAACTGAAATTGAGCCTATCGAAATTACATGTCTGTGCAACTTAACACATGGTCACAAAAGCCTAACAACAATAAGAATAACACCATGGCTATGCATATCGATGGTACACTGTTCAAGTAAAATGAGCCGCGCCATGACAAAACCAACATAATAGGTTTGCGACCAGCACGGATCCAGACCAGCCTGCGCATCTGCGCAGTCTGATCAGGATCCATACTGTTCGTTTACAGACCTTATAACAAGTAAAGAAACTGTTAGTGAACAGCATGGATCCTGATAAGACTGCGCGGATGCGCAGGCTGGTCTGGATACATGCTGGTCGCAAACCCATTATGTTGGTTTTGTCGTGACGCGGTTCAAATAGATATTTACAAGCTCCTTTTTTTCATCTGATCCATCTATACACTGTTGAAGACCATCGCATTTCAGGTCGTTAGATATACATCTGAAAAATAAACCATACACATTTTAACGATAAAGGGAACGGGGTGCGCATATTAAGCTTCGAACTCACTTTTGAGTCAATTTTGCTGACTTCACATAACGTGAAATAAGCTTGCTTTTTTAACTGAACGATTCGAAGACAGATACAAACAAAACAGTTTTATAGCTTTAAATAAATACATTTGCACAGAGTACTGGCGTTTGCACAGAGTACTGGCGAAACAAATTTTCTTGTTACTTCTGTTACGGTTATAAAATAAAAGACATAAAAAAGCTGGGTTGTAGTCAAGTTTTAAGCTTGTATGGATGCTTTACCTTAGTGTTATTACAATGGTCACATTTAACGTGTTTGCTGATCATCTTTTTACATATTATTGTTACATAAATATATAGATTACACATCTTTTACATCAAACAGAATTTTAAATACTGACCTATTTGTATCGCACTTGAATTCCGTATTTGTGCATGTCCCCTCGCGAAAACCTGTGACAGTAGCCACAAATCCTTTTTTCACTTGCACTGCGTCCGATATGAACTTTATTTCTATTTTCTCTGTCACAGAGACATAATCTGTAAGACGTGAAAATGGGAAAATGAAATAGAGGATATTTGTTTGTTAGTGTGTAAGATGAAATTGTATTTCATCGAGTGAGCTTTAAAATCAGTATTCTCACGAGTGGCGTAGCCATATGGCAGTAAAATATGCATGTGGAAGGTATGTATTTTTAAAATTATTGATTACCGCATGGGGAAAATCTTTAAAAAAAGTAGTTTCGTCATTGAAAACTGTGAAATTATATTTCGATAATTATACCCCCAAAAACGAAGTTTGGGGGGGTATATAGGAGTCACCCGGTGGTCGGTCGGTCGGTCGGTTGGTTGGTCGGTCGGGCGGTCGGTCGGTCGGTCGGTCGGTCGGTCGGTCCAGACGTCCGTTGCATTTTCCTTGTCCGGAGCATAACTTGAAAACTAATGGTTGGAATTCAATATAACTACATACAATGGTCAAGCACATTGAGAGGAAGTGCAGTGCACAAGAACCATAACTCTATCTTGAGTAATTACAGAGTTATTGCCCTTTGTTACTTTTCCTTGTCCGGGGCATAACTTGAAAACTACTGGTTGGAATTCAAAACAACTTCATATAATTGTCAAACACAATAAGGGAAGTGCAGTGCACAAGAATCATAACTCTATCTAAAGTAATTACAGAGTTATTGCCCTTTGTTGCTTTTCCATTGCTTTTTTTTGTCCGTTGCATTTTCCTTGTCCGGAGCATAACTTGAAGACTAATGGTTGGAATTCAATATAACTACATACAATGGTCAAGCACATTGAGAGGAAGTGCAGTGCGTAAGAAACATAACTCTATCTTGACTAATTACAGAGTTATTGCCCTTTGTTACTTTTCCTTGTCCGGGGCATAACTTGAAAACTACTGGTTGGAATTCAAAACAACTTCATACAATTGTCAAACACAATAAGGGGAAGTGCAGTGCACAAGAACCATAACTCTGTCTAAAGTAATTACAGAGTTATTGCCCTTTGTTGCTTTTCCATTGCCTTCTTTTTTTGTCCGGACCATAACTTGAAGACTAATGGTTGGAATTCAATATAACTACATACAATGGTCAAGCACATTGAGAGGAATTGCAGTGCATAAGAACCATAACTCTATCTAAAGTAACTACAGAGTTACTGCCCTTTATTACTTTTCCATTGCTTTCTTTTGTCCGGACCACAACTTGAAGACTAATTGTTGCAATTCATTATAACTTCATACAATGGTCCAGCACATTGAGAGGAAGTGCAGTGCACAAGAACCATAACTCCATTTTGACTTGGTAATTACAGAGTTACTGCCCTTTGTTACTTTTCCTTGTCCAGAGCATGACTTGAAAACTACTGGTTGGAATTCAAAACAACTTCATACAATGGTCAAGCACAAGAAGGGGAAGTGCAGTGCACAAGAACCATAACTCCATCTTGACTAATTACAGAGTTATTGCCCTTTGTTACTTTTCCTTGTCCAGAGCATAACTTGAAAACTACTGTTTGGAATTCATTACAACTTCATACAGTTGTCAAGGACATTAAAAGGAAGTGCAGTGCACAAGAGCCATAACTCCATTTTGACAAAATACAGAGTTACTGCCCTTTGATACTTTTCCTTGTCCGGAGCATAACTTAAAACATACTGGTTGGAATTCAAAACAACTTCATACAATGGTCAAGCACAATAAGAGGAAGTGCAGTGCACAAGAACTATAACTCTATCTTCAGTATTTATAGAGTTATTGCCCTTTGTTCTTTTTCTTTGTCTTTCTGGACTTATTACAGAGTAATTCAATTAAACTTCATCAATGGCCAACCACATTGAAAGGAAATGCAACATACATGAACCACAATTATCTTTAATTGCCCACAACCATAACTCTATGTTTTAATTCTATTACAAGGTATTCTGTTACTAGTAACATCCTCATTTCCTAAGCAGACGTGTGGGGGTATTAATCACATTTAGTGATAGTTCTAGTTTTCACTGTGAAATTATCAAATATAATTTTCACAGATAAATCAGTAATCCACTGAAAAGCATAAAATAAACCAGGATAACTGTCAGTAGATAAAAATAGTAGCAAAAATAAATAAACCGATATACATGTAATTAAGAATCTATAAAAGGGAAAGATAAACATGGCGAAAAAGGATAGTTAAAGAGCTATAGATGGTCTTAAGTTGATGTAATTACAATAATGTGATAAGAGATATTAGTATATTATAAATAATTATTTAATATTTTAAAGAAGAAAAATTACCATGTTTAATGCAGAATTCCGTGACTTGATAACTCCCTGAAATACAATGTTTTGGTCTTAAAGCATGATTAAACAAAACAATATTTTTCTCGAACAGTCTTAATATGATTTGATCACCATAATTCATTCATCAATTAGTAAAAAATTTGATATCATCTCATCTGAAATTCGAGACATACATGTTTATCTGTTGCAGACTCAACGAAACTGGATTCTATTCACCCATACTAAACAGTAGCTCTTTCACATTTTGGAGATCTCATTAAAGGAGAGCCCATGACAATTCCGCTGTAGAGCCATCGACCAAAACAAAGCTGAAACAGGTAAACACAGTTTGTAAAAAATCCGATTTAAAAGAATATGCTTGTTTTTCAAAAATCAAAGAATGCTATGCCATGTAGAACGTTTTTCTCATCATTCGGGATGCATTCTCGATACGAAATACCCAAAAATGATGTTGTTAGAACTTTCACCTAATATCAAATATTCTTCCTTCACGATAAGACACATCTTGAGTGATTTCTCTACTACATTGTATAAAGTTAGTGTTGACCCACATAATCTTGCAATGTGGCATTGTGCCTACCTCACATTTGGCTCAATACAAAAAATACCTTGGTACAAAATAAAATACATTTTTAATGTGATTGAGCCATCGGCACGGTGCTTGACCCATTGGCAATGTGAAAGAACCCTAGCGAGTGTGATGGAACCAAAACAAACATTCAATTAGTATCAATATTGTAGAATATTTGTGATCATTATTCATAAAAAGACAAAATTCCATGAGTTGATAAAGACTTACATTCATGAAATGTTTCAGTGAGGCGCTAAGCACGAAGTTAATTTCGCAAAAGCAATGCAACACTATTTAAAAGTTACTGGCAATACAATGAATATCGAATCAAAGATTGAATCTTCAACGCACCACGCCCCACCACACTGTTAAAACCCAGTAAAAGAATGCGCATCCAAGGACCAAGTTTCAAAATTAAATAATCTATTTCAAATGCACCATTTTGCAAATTTAACATCTAGGAAAACATTTTAAGGAGCATTGAATATTTCACTTGAAAGTTATCCAATCAGTAATGAAGAAGTGATTGAAAATGACACATTTTATACTTTGATAGATATACAGCAACGTGCATCACGAATGGTGAGAAAATGTTCAACTTGGTATAGGATGTTTTTAGAAAATGCGTTTATCCATTTCAGCCTTGTCTTGGTCGATGGCTCTATAACGGAAGCCTCGAATGCTCGCATTTAAACAGATCACCAAAATGCGAAAGAGCCGAGCCACTGTTCAGTAAGGGTGCAAGTCAAAGATTAATTCAGAGTTTCGGTTTTTTTGTTGTTGTTTTATTTTCATTCGTGCAGACTGAACCTTCTCTGTACTTATGGCTGACTAACTTTAGAATTTGCTATCTTGATATGCCCAGATCGATAGACAATTCTAAAAAATGAAAGCTTACAAATTCAGCAGGCTATATAGTACCCCATCATATTACCTTTTTCTATGACAAGAAGGATAAGCCAAATATAGAAATTAAATGCTTACTTTGGTAAAATGCCCCCAGGTTAATATTTGCATAACAAAGTGTGAAATATACCTCCCATATTTATCTCCCATATTTAACGCACATATAAAACGTTTTTGAAACATTCAGTTTTGCAAAAATAAAGTAATTCTATTATAAACAGAGAATGAAAAGAAAAAAAAACTGTTAACTCAAAATTTTCCAATAAATTATATATGATCTTTCTAAAATTTCATAGAAAACTTAAAAAGGCGAAACTTGATCCCCCGTTTGGTTTGCGTAACTATTGTTGTATATAAACCAATTTTAAACATGTCTCTAAAAATTGCCTCCTTATTAACAATAAGGAAAATGCATATTTTTGATATCTGCCTTTTAATAAAAAGGCGGACGGCATTCTGTCCCTTTCTTGTAAGAGAAGGAGAGTCCTGTGATGCGTGTATGTGGTCGCACGGTCACTTTCCTACAACCTTTCCTCGATGCATGTATGTGGTCGCATGGTCGAAAGTCTTAATTTTATTTTTAAGTTTTTATATTCTTCTTTACTCGCACTAACAGTGTAAAATGCCTAATTAGAGCTTTGTTACTTCTGTTTAGGACTTTTAAAAGCCTAAAAAGGACTTAATTGGGAGTTAAAAGTGACTAAGTAGGACTTTGATACTCTCAGTTGCAACTAATTAGGACTTTTACTGATAATTAGGAGAAATAAACATAATTTTAAAAGCCTAATTGGGAGAAATGAAAGTATTATTTGGAGTTGAGAAATATAACCTTAAGTTATATAGGACTTCGTAGCTTCTAATTAGGTTTTTTTTTACAAAAAAATGCAATTAACAGTTGAATTTTTCCCCATAAGTTTATTAAACTTGTTTTAGAACATGCAAAGTCCTAGTAAGTTTTTAGATCTGAGCAGTACTACAGACATTCAGTAAGCTAGCTAGCAAGCTTCCTCACATGAAAGAATCTTAGTCCCTGGCGGGATTTAAACTCACAGCGGTGAGGGGCAAATAGATGAAATCTAGTCTAGTTATAAAAGTACGCAAAGCAATTATACTTTAAATATGAGTATTATTTGCTCCTAACATGTAGCGCAGTTGTATACTATACTTAAATCAATGGTTTTTACAACACTGCGGCACTGAACGGCAAAATACTTTGCGACGTTTAGCAGTGGTTGCGGCATTAAGCGGCAATGCAACAAATATCGGGTCCACACTGACGAACAATGGTGACACAGTGATAACAACAACAATAAAGTGATAAGTATAATATAATTGGTAATTTCGACTATTTTGTCACTAAAATCAAGACTAACATAAAAAAAAATGTTTTAGTATCAATTTTAAAAATCAATTTATCTGTTTTGGCGCCATATGACCAAAAATTATTCTCAATACTTCGACTGCAAGACCGAAATTTTTACAAGATTTACTGTATTTCAATAAAAGAGTAATTTCTTGTGTTACCTGTGCCCATTTCTGTGATAATAATCTTGTCTTTGCACGTGTTGTCCTCTGGGGGCTGCATTTCAAAGAATGTGAAGTGCACGAGAATCTTTTGCCCTGAAATCATGAAAATAGAACATGATAGATTAATTATAACACAAATTAAAAGGAGTGAGGCCATTTACAGTATTGGTGCACCACACTTTATGCCGTATTCCGGTATATTCCGGATGGGTGCCTAAATGATAAAATTATATGCTAAAATCTCGCCTTTTTTAACCGCCGAACTGCACTTCGAAACTGCTAATTTATCAACTCACACCGATTTAAATACGATCATGAATGAAAAATGTAAGAGGTAAGAATAGCCGAAAAAAAACGACTAGACATGTTTCTACTTTGTGATCATGATTTCCGTCAAGCGTCTAGAGGTACTGCTTCAACACTGTATTGAGTTCAATTATGAACTCCAATCCAATTAAAACAACATTAAAAAGACTCCACTGATATTTTATTGACATTGTGGGACTGGATTTATTTTTTCGAGATAAATGTTCCATTTGATGTTGATCTAGACCAATAAACTTTGTGCAAAATTTCAGATCATTCGCTCATGCCGTTTTTCTAGAATTATTATTTAAATAATGACCCAAAATCGAAACGCGTTGCAACGCTTTTCATATAACGTGGATTAAGAAAAGCACAAAAATACGACTTTTAATTTATGTATAAGCATATTTCTTAACCTTTCGCATAATTGTCTGTTTAAGTGCCCCCAGCTTATTTATGTAAGAAATTCAAACTTTATGTTTTTTTAGGCTTTTAGACCCTAGTGGAGTCCCTTTAAAGACATTTTTATTTTCAAAAGCTTATTATTTTTTGTTTCCTTTTACAATTTTAAAAAGAGAACTCATTTTCCATATAGCTGATCAAATCACATTTTGCTTCTATAGCATATTGACCATTAGTTGTCCGGAAGTTAAAAGTCTTATTTGTTTACATTTTTTTTTACTTTTCTGATAATAAATAATTAAATATAATTCCACTTCCAGCTCTTCTCTATCCTTGCGATAAGCATCTTACATGTTCTAAATATATTAATACAACAATTCCAAGCAAATGTTAGCCTTTTTTGAAGAACAATTTATTTACATGTATTCATTTTTGAGGCATAATATGCCTCTTGCATTGGTTATTAAATTTAATTCGTCATTGCAAGGGCATATATATTAGTATGATATTAAGAAGTTTAAACTATACACAACGGTGATACAATGTATAAGTGCACATTTTACTTTATATTTTTACGCTAAGATGCCATAGTTATTTAAAGCCTTATCAGACACGATAAAATATCTAAAATGTACTTGTCTAGCTTTCAACCTGAACAAAAGTATTCATCATGTTAAGAAAACATTTCAAAATAAGTACTGACTAAATATCAAACAACGCAGGTCATAATCAGACTTAAAGGATGTGTCTGCGTTTGTTCCATGAGAGAATTCAGTTACCGACAGCTGAAATAAGGTTAATTTAGAACATCAATGTACATGTATATATGAGCCGCGTCACGACAAAACCAACATAGTGCGTTTGCGACCAGCATGGATCCAGACCAGCCTGCGCATCCGCGCAGTCTGATCAGGATCCATGCTGTTCGCTGTCAGTTTCTCCACTTGTAATAGAGTTGGTAAGCGAACAACATGGATCCTGATCAGACTGCGCGGATGCGCAGGCTGGTCTGGATCCATGCTGGTCGCAAACCCACTATGTTGGTTTTGTCATGACGCGGCTCAATTATGTGTTTTAATGAAGTCCAAATTAGAGAGAGGTGGAACTGTTAGCATGCATATAGATGGGTCTTTGGTGATTGCATCTCGACAGCAGGTCGAGCAAATAAAAAGGAGCTAAAGATATTGTAGCTTTGTTGTTGTTCGGTATGAACATGTCTTTGCAATATGATAAAGCTACTACATGATTAGCTACGATGTGATATACATTTCTTATCATGAACTGGCCTATACACCTTTACAGTTTGTTATCTATGTTTATAATATACCATGTTTATAATATAGCCTTTATTTTGGAATCTTAACCGATGGCTTTTGTGATGAATTTCGTGTTCTTTTTATTAATACTTTTCATTTGCAATTCCCGTTGTCATGCGCATGGAAATGCGGAGACGCCACAGAAGCGACTGGTGTACCACAGTGACGTGGATGTAGCACAGGAGTTTGCAAAACTTAGACAGGAACTTCAGGAGCAGAAGAACTTGATTAATAATTTGACTGAAAAACTAAGCAAGACATCGTCAGGTTCAAATATATTTTTATTAGTCTATCCTGTGTGTGTATGTGTGTTTGTTCGTCTGTCTCTGTTTGTTTGCTTTTATGCATGTTTTTGCCTGTACATGTATTTCCTATTGTTTTTATCACATATCGATAAACGGAATGTATTTTTTTTATTTAAATTCGAAAACAAAGAAAACTTATATGAAAAATCTTAAAGTATTTTTACTTCATTAGTTACATTAAAGCATACGGCCCTTGGTTATTTTCTTTCTAGATTCAGGATCAACGTACATAAGATGGGGCCGCACAACGTGTTCTGGCAATGGGACAGAAATAATTTATTCAGGTATGATATTGTTATATGACTTATTGAACGGGACATTCAATCGCATCTTATCGGCCCTTTCCGTCAAACTTCAGATTATTGATAAAAGCCGAGATTTTCCGAGTGCGGGACGTACATTACCATACCTAACCTTTGGTCCCATAGCACCGCCATCCTGTAATAAAATGGAAAGGGGTGCAAACAAGGAAGTATACACTAGAAATATTTACTACGCCAGGAATTTCTTAGAAAAGTGCTAGCTAACACATGTAGGTTAATAAAAGCAAGAGATTTCCGTCAGACAGTGTGATTGACTATAATCAGTGCCTGACATAAGAAAAGTGGCAAAACTTTTGTCAAATGGTAAATCAGAGTTATGGGATCTGTGCCAATCAAGTTAGATAATCACAGACAACAAGTTTGTAAAGTTCCACGATACCAATTTGTACGCAAAACAATCATATTGATTAGTCGCCGGTAGAAACCGGCGACTATATTTGTAATAGTTTAATATTATACCTATGGTAGGAGAAGCCCTTAAAATCTGAAAATAAAAGCATATCAATCATTGAACAATTAAAGACAACAATTATTTTTCAGTAATCACAAAAATCAAACATATGATAACTTTGCTCAGTGGAATGAAATATGCACATATTGACGTCTTAAAAAGCAACATTACAATTTTCATAAAATGAATCAATAACGTATCCCCAAGGATCAGTCCTTGAATATTAGAGATACTATTACTTTTTTCTATGTGTCAAGCATTGCTATTCTATAATAAATAAATCATGAATGATATTTGAAATGACTCTTTAGAATTATTTGGTTGTTTATTTTTATGAGACCTTTTATATTACATTATTTTATCTAATTATAAACAAATGCTCCCTGGTCATTCGTAAGAATCACGTGACTACATGTTTATATATGTTGTATATCGTTATAAAATCTATTAATAGTAACAGATTGCTGATAAGACAGGTAATTTGTTAATGGTGGTAACTGATAAGATGTAAATCATTGTAATTTTGTACAGATAATTACAGTAACATAAGTTTTTTTTCATTAACCAGGTTCATACTTTATATCATAAGAGAAACCTGTTTACTTTAAAAATACATTTTCAAAACATTTTCCTTTCTTCTTGGTAAAGGGTTTAACTTGGCCCTTTCTGTCAAACATTCGACAAGAAAGTTATATTGTTTAGTTTAGGTTGAACATCCCAAAATAATGTTATGCTTAAGAGGCACATTATTGAATCGTTGATTTCGGTATATTCCGTCGGTTTCCGTCACGCAGGTTTCCAAAACGGTATGACGTCAGGGGTCCGGAATCGTATTAGATACATAGAAAAAAATAATAAACTATCTTTGTGTTGATAGTTTATCGCACTGAAAGGCAATTAAACGTTAATTTTATATATCGTATGTAACGATTGGAATACGTGTATTGAATTTCAACTAAATTATATATATTTTTTATAGCACATAATAATGATGTACAACACTTTTACAGTAAAATTGTATTGTTTCATGTAATAATTAAACATATATATTTTCATAGTCACTTTGCAAATATTCGATGATCGGTAATTATTTGTCGGTAATTATCTGAATCTGAACTAGTTACCTATACGGATTTCAATGTATGGTACAACAGTATATGTATAAAGTATAATTACAAGAAGAATTACCAGCATAGCACTTGCCATACAAGCCTCAGTGGCAAACATTACTCAACTCATTGTTCCTCTTATTTTTATACTTGAACCATTAAACTTATATTTTCTTATATTTATGATAATACGATCATTTTTCTATCCGGCGACTTGATGCTTTAGCATCAAAATCTCTACTTGTTAGTATTCACACCTTATTACCGGCGGCAGTAGGGCAGATCACGCAGTGAGGGCAATATCTGAAAATTACCACGGTAAAGGTGGTTAAAAATTTGGTTTGGGTTTAAAATTTTTACACAATACGGCCCATATCTTTGCTATAAATATTGTCCAAAAGGGAGATAATGTAAGAAATTTTGGACTGTTTTTTCCTGTTTTAAGATTTTTTAGCGGGTTTAAAAGTAAAAGCCTTAGAAAAATCCGTAAAAAAGCTTTTTTCTGTTAAAAAATATCTAAAGTTTTAAGAAAATGGAGGTTTTTTGTTATCAATATAGACTTCACCATTGGGGTCAGCAAGCCAAAATTACCCCGTGAGTTTTTTCTTAAAAGTTTTCAGACGCTCAATTCGCCCGGTCGAAGAAAAAATGCTCCCGTTGAAAGGCAATACTTTATTTAAATGCTGCGTCAGGGCAGAAATACCCGAAAGTGGCTAACATTCTGACAGAAAATTCAAGTTCAATCTTTTATCAATTCCTCTTTTCTTTGCGTCCTTTTAGTCGGAATTGAGACGTTAAACTATCATTTCTAATATTTTCTCAAGATAGAAAAGTTATTAATTGCGGTGTGTGCATCGAAAAAAGCTTTTTATCAACATGCAGTTACAATACAAAAAGTGATGATTTAGTACGACAAAATTTCACTATAAATAGAGAAATGAACATGAAAAACTTCATTTTTCTATATTCATGCATGTGTGCTTGATCTGTTCATATGAATTGAAAAGGTCAAAAAAGAGAAAAAAAGAATATAACAAATCAAAAAATTCTAGTTTTTTTTCCTATAAATACAGGATTTATTTTCATCTTGTGATATGAATCATCGAAAGGTTCATCTTTATAAGTTGTCATGGTTACAACTAAAAATGAATGAAAAAATATATAGTTAAATGGGAGCACGTGATGTTAGAACTGTTGTTAATAGTTTAGCATAGTAAATGAAACTCAAAGGCAAACCACAACGCTATTACAAACATAAAAATTTAAAAAGAATGAATCCACGTTTGTTCGTGTTTTTCAAGAACTTGATAATATAGGAAAATATTTGAACTGTCAATAATATTATCTTTCCATTTTACATTAACATACATTGTTTTATGATACACTGATGCCAGTTGCGCGGTTAATAGTCTCCCCTTTATTACATCAATTTAATAATTTATAATCTGCGCCGATTAAGTAAATTTCAGCCTTTATTTGTCATAAAGCGATGAACATTATTACCTCGAGAAAATAATGTCATATGCTAGGAAATGAATATCCACTTACAGAAGTTACTTGCTGTAATATGCGTTATGTCTTAAAAAGGGAGTGCGCTGCTAAACTTAAGATACATATAGTATTGTATGCATGTAACTGACAGACACAACAGATCAAGCACACATGCATGAATATAGAAAAATGAAGTTTTTCATGTTCATTTCTCTATTTATAGTGAAATTTTGTGGTACTAAATCATAACTTTTTGTATTGTAACTGCATGTTGCTAATAAGCTTTTTTCGATGCACATACCGCATTAATGAAAAAAATCAAAAAATCTACAAAACAGCAATTTTTCTTCAAAATTATATGTGAGGCCATGTTTTAACATGGAAACACGCGTTTTTGGGTAATTTCGTTTTTTTTTAATCATTTTCTGTTAACACATTACCAAATATATATACGCCTTTCTACGCCTTTTTCACCCCCCCCCCCTCCTTTTTTGCTTTCTCAAATGGTGAAAAAATGCCTTATTTAGGCCCCCAAACACTTTTGTTTGATAAATGTTGTTTAAAAAATTGACCACTTTTTCGGCGCGCCACCCACCCGCATCCAAAAGATACATCAGGGGGTTGCTAGAAGGGGGATGTGCCCCCCTTCTGTTTGGGGGGGTTTGAATGGGGGCTGAGTCCCCCTCATCGCCAAGAAAACTTTGGACTTGTGGGAGGCTAAAAATGGCCCCAGGTCGATCATAAGGTAACGTGTAACCAATGCTGAAAAGCCTTTGACTCTATCTCAATCCATTGAGAAGTGGCAGCACTTTGAAATCAATTTTGATGGAAAAAATCAACGCAAAATAGTGATTTTTGGCAATTTTGAGATGTCCCCTAGTTGCTATGGTAACAGGAAATTTCAGACTGAACATGTTGTTACAAAGGCAATGGTCCAGTTAACATTTGTGCCAAGTTTGATTAGTATTGAAGCAGTTTTTATAGTTTTAAAGCAACTTGAACTTGTAACGGGAGACCTTTCAATGAAAACAGCCATTTTTCACAAGATGCTCATGGGGTAATGGGTTAATAACTTTTCAATCTTGAGAAAATATTAGAAATGATAGTTTAACGTCTCAATTCTGACTAAAAGGACGCAAAGAAAAGAGGAATTGATAAAAGATTGAACTTGATTTTCTGTCAGAATGTTAGCCACTTTCGTGGTATTTCTGCCATCGACGGCAGCATTTATAATATGTATCTGCCTACAACGGCAGCATTTTTTCTTCGACCGGACAAGATTGAGCGTCTGTAAAACTTTCAAGAAAAGACTCACGGGGTAGATATTTGGCTTGCGTGACCCCAATGGATGAACGTCTATATTGATAACAGGAAATCCTGCCATTTACTTAAAACTTGAGATATTTTGAACAGAAAACAGACATTTTCACGGATTTTTCTAAGGTTCACTTTTAACCTGCTCAAAATAGTCTGAAAACAGGAAAAAACGAGTCCAAAATTACCTTACAGTATCTCCATTCAATGGACAATAGTTTTATAGCAATGATATGGGCCGTATTTGTGTAATATAATTAAACCAACCAAATTTATAACCTACCTGTATCGATCGGTAATTTTCAGATATCTGCCATCACTGCAGTGATCTGCCATCACTGCCGCCGGTAATACGGTGTGGTATTTGTGCTCTGAAATGTGTGAGGTCGACGCGCACTCCTGTGTGCGCACTGCTCTCCCTTTTATTCGAACAGTCGAGATAACAAGGGTCTCGTACTATTGTTGACTTCAACACTGAACAGAAGACAGATATACATTTAAAACATCATATGATAACCTTAAAGAAAGTTCAAAACACTTAAAACTAAAAAACGTTTCAGTCTGTCTGTTCACGGGCAGTGGTAGCACCATGTCCCTAGCGGGGGCTTAAACAGAATTCAACATTTAACTATGAAAATGGCAAAATTTGTATTTGAGTTTCATCCACAGATAAATTTATACTGTAAATATCATGGAACTTCAAATCTTCAATGTCACACACACGTGCCATTCCATTAAAAAGTTGCAAATGGTTCCTAAGAATTTTGAGTGTCCTGAGTGAGAGAAAACGGTTGGTGCAGAGCTAAATTAAATGAATGGAATCCAAAGGGAGTAACTATTATGTTATGTTATGAGGCATGCGTGTCACAGTAAAACAGCGCATTTTAAAAGCATGCAATGTATTTTGATATATGGTTTTATTAAACGTGTTCAAATAGGAATTATATAAGAAACACTTATATAATACATACATGTACTACATGTACAGTGATTTTCCTGACCGATATAGGACCTCTTCCCAATTGAAACTTTCTTTTAAGTCATTCTGTTTTCCCAAAAGTCCGAACTTAAACCTGCTTTTTTTACGTCCCAAATTAGCAATTTGAGCGATAATTTTCCCCAAAATCAAGAGGCTAAGGCCTCTTCGCAGTTAAGTGAGAAAAATCACTGAATGTATACGTTTTTCAACGTTTGTTACTATAGCATCTAGAAAATAAATGTGACAAAGATTTTTATGGAAATGAATTAAACAATTCACAATTAATTTTCAGGATATATGGGTACTTCATCCGATTATCAACAGGTAGGCACGGGTTCGAACTATCTATGCCTTACAGGTGACCCCCAATGGGACCATTACGAAGAATCTATAGTGAGTTTGGGTAAAATAGCTGGAGTGGAGTATCAATTTTGGAATCACCGAGGAAATGGGGCCAGCAATTTCTTTGGGTATGACGTGTACAACGATGACGCACCATGCGTTGCTTGCCACACACATAGAGGTTCTAACATCATGATTCCCGGCAGAACGGAATGTTACAACGGCTGGACTAAAGAATATAGCGGGTACCTTGTAAGTGGCTTCGTGGGCCAGAGTCATGATTCAGAATTTATATGTCTGGATAGAAGACCGGAAGTTGTGGTTGGGGGCAAGACGGATGATCAGGAAGCTATGCTGTATTTTGTGGAAGCAGTCTGTGGTAAGAGCCTTGAGTGTCCACCATACATAAACGGACGAGAACTGACTTGCGTAGTTTGCTCAAAATAGGTATAAAATGAGAGAAAAAATCTTTTACTTACAGACGTGAAAAACAATCCTTTGTAACGAACGTTTAATATACAGTAAATTCCGTTTATAACGATATTCAGGGAAGTGTCGAATTTATATCTACATATCCGGATATCGTTATATCCAAATATCGGTATATCCGACGAACAACCAATTTGAAAACAGGAAGTGGAAGCGTTTGATTTGTATTGAAAACAGTTTATTGTCATTGGTTATAATTGTTTAAGTGTCATATACTTTTGTATAGAATCGTTATCAGATGATATAAGTGTACTCTGTAATATTAAAGTAAAAATCTAGTAAGTTAGATCTACTACCTTTATATTTTTCAACATTTTGGGAGTGCCACAGACACCGTTAGATTTGGGGAAAGGCATCAGCGTGGGCTATATTTCCAAACGACCAACCCTATAACCTGTCAGGAATATTTATAACGAATATATAACTTTCCATTTCTTTTAGAAAAAAGTAAACGGTTGTTTGGAAATAGAACCCGAGCCGCTAAGCGAGCGGGCACCTGGGTAGAGCCACCGACCTTCCGTAAGCCAGCTGGATGGCTTCCTCACATGAAAGATTTCGACCCGAATGAGGATCGAACCTACAGCGGTGAGGGACCTGTGATATCTGACTCAAGTCAGCGACCTTAACCACTCGGCCGCGAGGTGTTTATGGCAAACAACCGTTTATATACGGTAGTACATAAACATAGATCTACGTTATTTTAATAGATTGGAAATGTCTCCTTTTACCGGTTATTTTTTTAAATTTATTTATACATTCAGGAACATTGCACATGATACAAATAATAAACTCATACAGTTAAGAGATAACATATAAATCATTATATAAAATGAGATCATAAAACAGCACAAAAGAGCACACTTTTGTCATAAAAGAATAATAAGAGGTACTATGCACCTATGGATAGCCCATTTAGCTCAAAGCTTATTTCCAATGGGGTCCATAGAAATATATACATAATTACAACCCTTTCCCCCCTAAATAAAACTAAACTAACTAACTTTGGTCAAGATTTTGGTTGAAAAAGGAAATATTTTTTTATAAAAGTAGAGAATCTATGCCCTTTTTAAATAAACCTAGTATCACTATCACAGACAAATATTGGATCACAGTGCCTAAGACATTAGTAGTTTTACCCACATATGTTCAAAAATGCCTAGCACTAAATTAAAGGTATAGTGACAATTCTACTGACAGTTTAGGACAGTAGTGATCCTCCGCCCAAATCCCCAACCTGCACCCCCGCCACCACTCCCTGAAACATAAAATCTACGCCAAACAACTTCTGTAAAACTAGATACTGACAGTTTAGTTGAATCAACAACAATATTATTACAAATAAGTTTAGTCGCGTGATTTAAATTACCGTTTTCCGCTTGAAACGTGACAGCACATTGTTGATCAGCCTGGTAGGTATTTAAACCACCAAATAGACCTGCACCGACATGGGATCGAACAATAACACTTGCTTTATTCACGATGTTCTGTCCGCAGTGACCCAAGCTCCCTTCTTGCAAGAAGTATTCATCGTTCACATTTTGACATAAAATGTTTTGAATGTAAAAAATAAAGACTATAAACTTAAAGCCTGTTTTTTCTAATAGAAACATATTGATTGCCGGTGTTAACTTTTTGCTATGGGCGCATCCATTGAGAATATGACGTAATATGTCTGACGTCATTGATCTGGCTATCGAAACTGTGCTGTGGACATACATACTCATGAATACGGTATCCGATTAAAGACAACACAGCAGAGGACCTATAAATAAAGATTTCTAAAAACAGTGAAAGTGCTATGAGCGTCAAAGTTCTTTATCAATACCAACTAAATATACATATAATGAGGTTAACATAATTATAATGTAGATCTAATTTTTTTGTTTTGTATATTCTATATATATATATATATATATATATATATATATATATTTTATGCTTTAAGTAGACTGAGAATACTCAAAAGAACTGCATTACGGAGACTGTTGGATTACGGGGACAAATTTTGGTCCCTCTAATAATTCAGGTTAAGCTGGCTTATGAAGTGGGGATGCCATTAGCTATTTCTGTTTAGCATTCACATAAGTGGATGTGATTTAGAAGATAGGTTATTGTTGTTTTGAAAGTAGGTGTCAAATCACGAGAAAAATAACGTTTTTCGTTCAGAGCAGTGTATATTTTGAAACATGTAATAGGGAGACCGCAGTTTATATTAAATAACTTTAAAAATTGACTATATATAGAAAATGTTTTTATAGTATTATTTAATTTGATATTATTCCTATCGTATGTCCAAAAATCAAATCAATATGGAAAAAAAATAAAAATATGATTTTTTCGTGTTCCATGTTTTCAATTTATTTTACGTGAACCGGAATGTAGGTTTTAGTGGACGGCATTTAGTGCGTACTGTCATGGCGGCGTGTTTAACCTACGGGAGGAGAATGGTAAGTTTATTAGACTCAAAAAGATTTCTTTAGATGTATTTTGTGAAATAAATAAGTTTTTTTGTAACGTTGAAAATATTAGAATAGGTATGGCTTGGGACAAAGTAGTATAATCGCATATTCAAAATGGCAGCTTTACAAAATCTGAATGAGGTTTCAGAACATGAGGTGCGCGGGAAGAATTCAAATAACGAAATGAATTTGTAGAGTTTTAATCTAATTATTTGTGATACTGTTGTTTCTGTTTCCACATTCCATAGGCTTTAATGCATGTGATTATAAAACTATTTATGCACACGACTTTGGGTAGATATGACAAGTAGAGTTTACAGTTCTCGGGGTAATGATACCTCATTCACAGGAACTTGAAATTCTATCAAATAACCAATATTAATTATAATATCCAAATAAACCCCCTATATACTATAAAAAAAACACAAGGAATGAAACGCCTTTTCCCCACCCGAACATAATTTACGCCGAACAAATCAACAAAACAACGGATCAAAATAATCTATCTGGCCATTTCGATAAACAATACATAAATGCATCAAATACCACCGATAACTTTTTTAATTTTGTAGCTATATATGAATAATTCAACATTTTCTGATTATTTCCCACGATCTGAGTTTGTCGTCGACTCCATTTCGTAACGTCACTGGATGTTGATTCGAGGAGAATAATATTTATTAATATTATTTTTAACAAGTTCCAAAAATAACAAGTTTGCAAGTAAAATACTGTCAAACTAGAACAAATGACTGATTTATTTCTTACGACAGGGCTGAATTTATTTGATGGGCCATATCAAATAGAGTACTCATTTTTTTTTTAAAACGAAAGTACTATTTCAAAGATTTACCGTTCTTGTTTGGGGTTTCCCTTTCAAATGTATTTATAAAAGTAATTTGTTAAAAAGGTTTTACATGAAGATGTTTAAATCTATTTACATAGAATAATTTGTATAAAAGTTTTATACATACCTGTTATTTTTTGGAACTTATTAAAAATAATTTTAATAAATATTATTCTCCTCGATTCAAAATCCAGTGACGTCACGGAATGGAGTCGGCGACAAACTAAGATCGCAGGAAATAATCAGAAAATGTTGAATAATTCCTACACAGCTACGCGATTTTAAAAAGTTATCGGTGGTATTTGATTCATTTATGTATTGTTTATCGAAATGGCCAGATAGAATAATTTGATCCGTTGTTTTGTTGATTTGTTCGGCGTAAATTATGTTCGGGTGGGGAAAAGGCGTTTCATTCCTTGTGATTTTTATAGTATATAGAGGGTATATTTTGCATATTATCGTTAATAGTGATAGAATTTCAAGTTCCTGTGCCTCATTCATAGTTTTATCACCATTATAAAATATTGGTACCAGTTTTTTCCATGATGCATATTAAATTTTAGTATTTTCTTTTATTTATCACTGGAAAGAACACTTTTCAATCTCTTTAAAGACATTTCACTAGATTTCATGAAAGACCTAGAAAAAGCATAGGGGTCACTCGCGTGGTCAGGGGCTGTATATACTCTTATATTAAGGGAAACAACTATCTTAAAGACGGTATCAGTACAACATGTACAAAACCTCTTGTAAAAATTTTATTACTTGAGATTTTACCATAAGAATTACATAATTACAAAGCTTAAATATTTTGCTACCCGATACAAAAATTTCCTTGTGAAGAAAAAATGCCTAAAAGTTCTTGTAAACTAAAATTTACAAAAAAAAACACTCAATATCCAGTTCATTGACAAGGGTTCATACACCCGGTTTCTTCGAGTAAAATGTATTAAAAAACACTGTTGCAACTGAAACAAAGGTACTGTTCAAACAATTATTCACTTTCCTTTCGCTAAAGGTAAAATTCCTTATTCAAATTTGCATTCTGAAAGTATCACGGGTGATTTTTTTCTACAAAGTTGCAAAACTGAAAGTAGCCGCCATTATCGCATTTTATTTGGTAAACCAATCATTTGCCTCGATACAATAACGAAGTGATGTCATACGGAAATGGCTGCTAGTGTTAGTTTTCCAAGTTGATAAAATAAAACCGACTGTATTTCATTCACAACGCATGTTTGGATAAGAATATTAACAACCATTGAAAGGTTAGAAAATGTTCATTTGAATTGTTACTTTGTTTCAGTTGCAACAGTGTTTTTTAATACATTTTACTCGTAGAAACCGGGTGTACAAATCCTTGTCAATGAACTGGATATTGAGCGGTTTTTCAGTAAATTTTAGTTTCAGGGCTCGACATTAACGGTTGTCCGACTGCCCGGGACAACTAAAAGTTTGGTCCGGGCAAGTTATTTTGAAAAGCACTTGTCCGACAGGGCAAGTGAAAATAAAAAGCATCATTGACAAAATGCATGTACAAAATGAATAGAAATAACATCTTTTCATTTATAAACATCTTTAAAACAAAAATACACCATGAATTATTATCAATAATGTGAATAGACTACGGTCATGTATATTTGTTGATATAGGAAACAGAAGCAAAAATATGAGCAAGCGCCGCGGTAAGGTAATTCTCTGTTCTAATAATAGACTATATCTAATTTTGTACAAGGTAATTCCCGGGTTATGCTGTTGTTTAAATTTTGATGTTTGCATGTAAAGATATCATTGAAAATATGTAGATAATCATATTGATCTTTAAATATAATTGTTAAATAAAGTTTTTGCATTAAAAATGATTTATTGTTTAATCTAATATAACAACATTATGAACTTAGTAAACGAAGACTCGTTTACGGCTGTTGACTTGATGATTGAACGGGGAATTTCCTTACCGCGGTGCATGCTCCAGTCTTCGACTTAACCCACTCGACCGACGACCGAGTCGAGTAAATTTGCGGGTGGTCGAGTGAAAATTTCAAGCTGGTAGCCCGTCTGGTCGAGGGCTTTTTTCATATCCAAATTAAGAAAATGTTGGAAATATGCATAGCTCCAGATAGCAATGTTTTGGCTTTATGAAAATACAATATATTTCTGCTGAATTGGATGGAAAACTAAAAGTACTATTGTCAACACTGCTGTAAGTTGGAAACGAAAGTAGCAGGAAGTGACATCGAGTAAAAAGGGAAGGTAACTCTTGGGAGTTTCTGAAATGAAATTATTGATAAAGTTAAATTTGGTGTAATCATCGTAGGACTGAACCTAATATTCAATTTGTTTAGACATATATTATAATGTTTTTGCTACAAAATAAAGAAAAATGTCGTACTTGCCACTTTAGTTATTGGAAAACATATTTCTCCCTTCCCATCTGCAGTTTTGTACTCAATATTTTCATACCAAGGTTACAGTTACGGACAATTTCCTCAAAGACTAATTCTTTGTGTATAAAAGTTTTAATTCTATTATATTTATTTTTCATTAATTCTAATTTCAATTATAAATAATCAAAACCAAAGAACGGCACTAAAATGTAGTCTCACTCTGTAGAAATAGAGTATGAATAAAGCCTCATGCTGACCATGTAGCTGATTGTAAAAGAATGTGACACATTCAAACAACAACATGTCAGCAAAAAAAATGTGTCTTGTCATTAATTTGCCGTGTAACCTAAACAAACCCTAGTCTAGGGAAGCCTGCCTTAACAGAGCAAGTTTTGTATTGTTTCACATTGAATAAATATTTTATTATATAAGTCAGTCTGATTTATGTAAAGAAAGGAACTTTTTAGAAGGCAATGAAATTTGATAACAAAACAATGTAAATTCTTTTTATAAATTTTACCCCAGAATTTTCATTTTACTCTAGATTTTGATGGGTAAACCACCTTGGCCCTAAAAATTATTTGCAGCTTTATTGAAATTAAAACGCTTATGAAATATTATTGATTGTTAGACATGTATTTAATAGGCGTCATCTCATGCTTCACAATATGTCTTTTCTCTTGTATTTTGAAGGCACTAAGCCAAAAAGGAACACACCAAAAAAAATAAAAGTAATACGAAAAGGAATATAAATATGTTGTCAATGCATGTATCAGCCGACATGGTTACAGTAAACGAGGAGAAGAGTATTTTCAGTTTTTAAACAGTTTTTTTCAGTGTCTGTGGACAATGCCACGGAAATATCAAAATATCTTCTTTTCATATGTAGTTTAAACTCTTCTTATTTAAATAATGAAAGGAAGAAAAGTTGATTTGTTGATATTTTAATAATGTTAAATGGTATATAAAACATATAGAAAGTGTTATTTTTGTACAAAATGTAT